CTCTCTCCAGATGTGAGTCTTAATGAGCAATAACCACAGACATAAATACCTCTCAGAAATGAGGAACATTCTCATGGTGTCAGCACTGCTATTTCTTGGTGATTTCCCAATACCATTAGGAAACATTCTTCAGTCTCAAAAGACGAGTTGGTGGTCTTGTTATTTTTTTGAACTTCTAAAGAGAAGTGGGAAAAGATAAAACCAGCACCCAGGGCAATCACAACTTCATGTGGCCCAAGTCTTCTGAGATGTCTGCAGTAGCCAACATGTCTTGGGTCCTGCTTTCTGTGCTGTGCCTCATCATTCAAACTCCAGGTAAGCACGATTAAATCACACTTTACATGAAGCTCAAATTACTTAATGGATCCTTAAAGTACCTTTACGAAAATGACATATGTACCTGTGATCCAAAGATCAATATTGTAATCATGTAAAAAGTGGTGTGAACGTGCACATTCCCTTGTGGGGATGCATGTGTAGTAAATCCTATACTGGAGGAGTGCATACCTAAAGCTTTATGTAAGCTCACCACAAAGTTACCATTTGCTTAATATTACTGTACCTAAAGAAAAGAAAGTAGAATAATTTTAAATAATTATGCTACACACACATACAACTCAGTGAAGTCTTTTCAAACCCATTTATTCAATTCCTTTAAAAGCATTCATAGTCAAGACGGTGACTTAAATAATAGTTTAGTAAGAATGTCCCTAAAAATGTGCATCTCCTAAAATAATCTTACTAGTTTATTATTCTCTTGATTTTTTGTTTGTTGCTTTTTGTTGCTGGAGAATGAATCCAGAGCCTCATACAAACATGAACTGAGCTATCTCTAGCTCTTAGCATGTTATTTTCTAAAACACACAGCCCCAAATGACGCTACACTACCCTACTTAAAATTTCAACATTCACCTCCATCCCAGGATTCAAATTCTGCTTTATTCTGATATTTCAGCATGATAGTACTTATCACCTGCCAATGTGTAGTTGATTCATTTATAATACATGTAACTGTCTATCTAGATGATAATAGATAAACTAATAGACAAATAGAATGTGAATTCTATAAACATAGGGATCACAGTCTATTTTATTGATTGATTTGACTTAACAACCTCAAACCATGATGAGCTTAAAGTTAGCATTCAATAAATATTTTGGAGTGAATATCTGAGTTTTCATATTAAAAAAAAATATCAGACACAGTTTCTTACTGTCTCAAGAAGAATATAACACTTTTACATTATATTTTGCTATGATTATGTGAAAAATCAGATATAGTGATTTGAGACATTATAAAGTAAGAATGTACTATTGACTCGTCTCCATTTCTAAAACGAAATATTTTTTGAGATGTAAGAACTTAAAATTTCATTAAAGCTTTCTTGACTTCAATCTTTATAGTCCTTAAAGAGAAACTACTGCCCAATGCTTTTTACTTTAAAACATCTTGCAAAGGCCCTTGACTAAATCAAATAGTAAGCCATGCTTGGAAAATGTCCTCAAATCCAAATAAAGCAAGTAATGATGTAAACAAGTACTTTGAAGGCTTTCCCAAAATTTCAGTTAGCTTTAAAATTTGCAACAGATATTATTAAAGTTCACTCTAATTTTAAGTCTATCACTATTCTTATTATTGGACTCATATAACCATTTGAATAGTGAATACTTACACTAATGCAGTCCTAAATTTCCTGCATGAGGGACTCTTCTCAGGACAGCACTGTAGCAGAATTCTGGGAGCATTTACTGTTTCCCTTCAAATTCTCCCTATTTGTAGGTGCAGAACTGCCTGGTGTCCTGAGTCCCTTGCATTGTCACAGTAAGCAGGAACATGCCTTTAAGCCCAGATACTTTTGTGTGAAAACATAGGCACTCGAAAATAAGATTGTCTTTATATGAATGATTGGATGATTATAAAGAAAAGAAAAGCTGTGCTGCCATTTTCCTAGAATGGTGCTATGTAATTTTACCTTTTATTTAAGCTGTAAACCAATCTCTTTCTTTGATGATAAATGATATAAAGGTAAAGTGCATTCTCTAAGGCTATTTACTAAGGACATTTGACCACTTCTTTTGACTCCAAGGTAAGTTATTTTCTCAATATTTGTAAACAAAGGAAATTTTCCTATGTGATATAATTTCAAGCACATCAAGAATGATTCTTTGTCTTTTTCCTACTTGCTTTCTATTGCTTTAAAATTCCTCAAAGAGAGATCAGTGAAAACATTATTTCCTATGAGATCTCCAGTCCTGAGGGCAATGGGAATGAAAGAGCACCATGGCTTAACTGTCCTGCAAATGGTCAAATCACCGAGTCACTACAGTCTCGCTGAATATTACCTGCCTAGGAAATATTTGATACAGGGTGTACTTAGTCAAGGTTTGCATCACACTGAGAACCAAACATAGGAAAGGAAAAGCAGATGCCCCGAGAACATTTAGCAAGATTTTGCAGAGGATGGTAGAGGAAGAAGGAACTGGAATTCTTCACCCAGAAATCCTGGTTCACCAATCTCTCTTCTTAATTTCTGTTTCTGGTCATGGTGGCCCAGAATTTGCATGCAAAGAGATCATCCAAAGAACTGTTCATCATTATGATGTCTCTGTAGAATGGAGAATGAGACAGAGAGAAAGGGAGACAGAGACAGAGAGAGGAGATGAAGATAGGAGAATCAATTTGTTCTTAATGTTTACTATCTAGACAGGAATTTACTAGTCTTTGATGTTTCAACAAACTAACACAATCAAACCAAACCAAACCAAAACAGAAACTTTTAAATCTTTTATATCGGTATTATCTTTTTTTTTTTTCTAGCAATAGCCATAAAGCAGACTTCTGAATTTAACCTCCATGAAATAGTTCATCCTAAAATCCTACACAGTTTACATGAAAGAGGAATGGAGAACAACCAGACAAAGAAAGGTGGGAAAGAGGTAAGCACTGTGAAGGATCGTGGTAGATTTTACAATCATCTGGGGACGAAACAAAGTCCTTTTACTGATTGAAGTGATGTCCCAGTTCACATGGAATAACTTGTCTTGATATCCATATGCAGAGTTCCCCCTTTTTTTCAGGACAGATCATGTGATTCCTCAAAATGGTTTTGTAGTTAAGCAATCCTTGGACTTTTCTTCAAAACTGTGGAGGGAAGCAAAGGATCCCAGGAAGGGCAAGCATATGTTGGAAATGGTGCTATGTGCTCGACTCTCCCATCTCACTTCTTCACATTTTCCTCAACCCTTTTTCCCAGTGCCTTGTTTTTTCCTAAGTCATTTTGTCTTTAACAGAGAATTCAACTTTAGCTCAGTAGTTAACAACATTGTTATTTTTCATTGATTAGAATTATTGACTTTTTGACTCCCTGTTGTTGCCAACATTTCCCTCATCTTGTAGTTTTCATCTTATTTAATTCTTAGATTTGAACCAAGCAAGATATGTCATGGACAGGTACAAATTCCCAATGAGGAATGTGATCATAAAGTATGCCTAAAATACCTTAAAGAATAAAAGTAAATAAAATTGCATATCAAGTAAAAATATATGCCCTGTTGTTCTCTTTTTTGTGATTAATGATGTTCTCAGGATGGTGGTATATTGCACCCTGGAACAAATGGTAAGTCCCTATCTTATGTATTAGAGCTAGTTTAATCTGCATCATTACTGTGTAATTGTACTTCTAGGAAGTCCTTAATATGCAAATTATGCTTTATTTTAGATATTTTAGAGGCACAAGAGAACTGTTATTACCTTATATGTGTTTATAATTGTTCTAATTTGCACTACATATAACATTAAATTCAGAAATATAAATCATATGGTATAATTACACCATTAAAATTTTCAGGAAACTTATATATCTGAAGTTCAGTACCTGATTAAATTAAATGGAGAAGAAATCATTCTTCACCTACAAAAAGCTAAGTAAGTTGTACTTTCTCAGATCTAATCACTGAATTTTATTAAGCAAATGCTGGAGAAAAATTTTTGGGACTCTGTTCAGTATGGTTGGAGGCATACTGAACTTTAGATGTTATTAATTTGTGCTGATGTTATCTAAGAAGGTTGATGCTTTCCTGGGGAACCATTTGCAAACTGTAAAACAATTCAAAGCTACAAATACATATGACTTTCTTCCCTGAACTTTTTGCAAGTTATTGAAATCATTTCTACTTTGGTAAACTCTGATTTTTGTGGCTTTCCATTAGATTTATATGAGTGTATGTCCAAGGTAGATTCAGAGTGTGCAGAATTGAGATATATTCTAAGGGATGGGTCTCCATCAAGATCTATAACACTCAATAAACTACTTTTGGGAGGCAATGGATCTTGATATGCACTCGTGACCTAGCATCCTTCACAGATTTTGTGAAAGTTGTGTACTTTGTGCAAAGAATCCCAAAGTGACCCATTTGTCATTGAAAAACTCTGCAGCTGAAAAGTAATTGAGAGCATTTACCTCCAATTTAATTATTACTAATTTTTTGTTGTGAGTTTCAATGTTGGAAAGAAATCAAGGGCCAAAATGTCAGTTCTTTCTCATCATAGGCATTATAATTCCTTTAGTGAAGAACGGCTACCTCAGGTAAAGGAGCCTTTGTCAGCATCTTGAGTGTACTATGCTGCTTTCTGCTCTCTACAGGTATGTTCCGGGGCCAGACTACACTGAAACATACTACTCCCCCGGAGCAGAGGAAATAACCAGGAGCTCTCAGAACATGGTAGGACTTAAACACTCCCTGGAACTCTTCCACCACCTATCATTGACCTTACAAAATTCAGAGATCCAAAGTTAACTTTAAAAAATTATTTGAAATCAAAGTGCTCACATATGACCTGTGAGACAACAGGTGGAAAATCACCTGTTGTTTAAAATGTAGGAGTAACAGGTGGCTTCTAAATATTGCATTTTTAAGAGCAACCCAAAGTCCACTTGCTCCTACACCATTTGATCCAGAGGTTAGAAATACCCTTATAGCCAATTGAAAGGTCATGTCACTATCTACTGTTTCTTTAAGATAAGTTTATTTTTCTTAAGGTCAGCAATGGAATATCAGTTAGTGAATGAATATGTTTGTATCTGGTCAAGCCACCATCTTATACAGCAAAGCCAGATGTCATCAACCATAGAGAACTAGAGCAGAGCAGGAAATAATACAGAAAAGCTCATTCAAGAGATATTACCAAGCTAAGATACTTGCTCACAGGCATACTTCACGGCACCCTAAATGTGCACAGCTCTATAAACAAACAAAACCCCCACAATACTTGTTACAAAATAGTACTTCATTCCCTCCTCTTATCAAAACACTCATATTCTAGGTATGCTGATTTTTGTTAACATTTGTCCTCAGTGGAGAGTATCTGATAAATTAATTCATGCTCAAATGTTAGAGTCTGATGGTGTCTTAACACGGTACTTTTCCAAGTCTTCAATGAGAAAATGTTTTGACGGGGAGTCTTGCAAAGAAGACACACTCACATAGATGATGGATTCCCGACTCTTCAGCAAGTAAATTTACTTTGAATCAGAGATTTCTCATTACCTTTTGTAGATGATGTCACATATGTGGCCCTAATATGATGTGGACCACCAATCATGTTGAAGTCTTTGGTTATAGGCAAATATTCTGGGGTCTTAAACCTGGTAAAGGGATTTCACTAGTAGTCCTATAACACTGATATATTAAAGCAGTTAGTGTGAAAAATAGGAGCCTGATTTTATTAACATGCACCTTTGAGACTCACACAGAGAGCTAATTTCTTGAAAACTGGCCCCACAGCCTGCAACCCTGCCCACAGTCCACCAAATCTCAAAGTGATTGGCTATTTTCCAGCAGCAACATTCACTTTCACCACAAGCCCACTTATGTGCTAGGCACTGGACTTTACCTTAGTGCAAATTAAGGTCTGAAAAACAACGCAGACACCAATTGAGAAACCTCCAAGCCTCTCACTGTTTTTGTTTCTGGAAAGTGGTAAGGACATAGACACTACTTGAACTTTTGTACACATTCAAGATGGCAGCTTCCCACATTATTGTGATTCGTGTACCCTTGCAGTTTATGTGTGTGCATAAACTATACTTATATATGTGTATATGTATTTCTAAAGAATATATGTATTTCTTAATTCCAGAAACACTGTTACTATGAAGGTCACATCCTGAATGAAAAGGATTCTTTTGCCAGCCTTAGCACCTGTGATGGGTTGAGGTGAGAGACGCTATCAGAATTATGAAATATCAGGCATCATTTTCTTATGAGCTTAAGATAAGGAACAAAGTATCACCATTACAATCATTTCATAATCTGCTACTCTTGAAATCTAGACCCACCTTATTTAAGCAAGAGTGCTACATTCTGGACTTGCTGATGTCTGGGTTCATTTCCAAGTTCATCTTCACTCTGAAGGAATCACGTTTTATTTTAATAAAGCTTCTACTCTGTAGTTTTCTCAGTTGAACTTAATTTTTTAAGAATATGTGTGTGTTCATTTTATATAAATAACTCTTGCCAATTAGAGAAAATTCAGAGAGTAAGAGGAAGCACAAATAAGAAAATAATAGCTACCCCCAAATTTGACCGCTGAATGATCAGTATTACTAACACTTTATTGTGTTTTAGCCCTTTATATATATAGACAAATATATCTTTCACATGGGTAAAATAAGAAAGAAAACATGTAATTTTTTCAATATTGGTGATATATAATATAACATTGTAACTTTTGCCCATATCATAAAATATCTTTATGGCTATAATTTTAATGACGTTTATGTCAGATTTATAATATTACATTATCTGGATTTGTGTTCTCTTCCTAAATGATTTCTCTTTCTATAAAAGGAGATTTCTTATGCCACTACTAGTCCCAGTTGGCTATTCTGGGGCACCTGCTAACCCTTGTTCTCCTCTCTGGAGTTCTTGGCATCTGTACATCCCTTTACTCCATTCCCCATTATCTTCCTGGGCTCTGCCAAGAAATACTTGCTAAATGAATAAATGAGCTGAAAAAGTACTTATCAAGTTAATGGTGTAAATGCCAAATTTAGGGGGATTGCTTCATCTTAGTAATTCTTCAGATTCTCTGGATAAATAAGATAGGCATCATTTTAATATTGAAAAATACTGATTATAACTTAACCTGTACGACGGGTGAGGGAATACCCACATGTATAAATTTGGATGGAGGAGAGGTAAAGAGCAGGTGTGTAAGAGGCTGGGCATTAGGTAGTCTGGAAGTACAAGTCTCTCTATCTCACAGAGGATACTTCACACATCATGGCCAAAGGTATCAGATCAAGCCACTGCAAAGCACGGAGCAGGGCAAACATGCTGTCCTTACGTACAGTCAGGAGGAACCAGACATGGCAAATCGCTTGTGTGGCATGAGAAGAGCTGGCAGAAAACAAGGCCATAGTAGAATGTCAAGGTTACTCAACAGTACAAAGGTGAGGATAGCTCTACAACAGTTATGATTTCAGCTGTCTCAGTGGCGGCACATGATACACCAGAGCGCTCAGCAATGCCTGCTGCATGCAAAGCTTATTCGTTACTTGTTCTTCAACTTCATCTCTCTCTGGGAAAAACCTTTTGTAAGACTTTGAATCTTTTACAATAAAGACATGTTAACACTATTCTTTTATTATTTGTAAAGCCGGAAGATTTCCTTCAGGGACAGAAGTACATTGATCTCTTTCTGGTGCTGGATAATGCCTTTGTGAGTATGAAATTTGTGTGCTTCTTAGACAGTTTATTCAATTTTTGAGTTTGTCAAGCAAAAGAAAGCAATTAGCTTTGTAGTAAGGAGGCATTTGGTCCAGCTGGTTTCTTGGCTGTGCCATCTGTCTTGTCTATATCCGTTTTCACTGCAATCCATTTTAATATCTATCTGCCTCCAAATATTTAGATATTGGTGATATGCTTAATGCCACATAGCCTTAGGCAATAACCACAAAAATGAGAAATAAAAAGAATAAATTGTTAAAATATTAAATTCTTTTATATTTTAAGATAAGATATAAATACATCTTTAATATAAATATCATTAACATAAATTTGGAACAAAGCTATACATAACTTATAAATCATATTTAAGTATACAGAGAGAAAAACACTAGAATCTGTCTTTACTTAATACATTCTGGCCAGAGATTTAGCACAGTGGTTCTGCCGCCTGCTCTGCAAGTGCAAGGGCTGGAGTTTGATCCCCAGTACCAAAAAAAAAAAATGTTACTGAGACTTAATACATTCTTCATAAACATTCTTCATAAATGCTTCATAAACAAATTTTAGTTGACCTTAAATTGCTTCCAAATTAAATTATTAATTTAACTTATTGAACTTAAAGATGAATAACAATGTAATTTCATGAGTGGCTCTCATCAAAAAACTCTTGCATTAAAATTTGTTGAAACAGGGCCGGAGATTTAGCTCAGAGGTGCTGCCACCTGCCTCATAAGTGCAAGGTCCCAAGTTAGATCCCCAGTACCAAAAAAAATTGTTGAAAAAAAATCTTGAATAGGGTAGTCATGGAATGAAGAGATGCTAATTATATTAAAATATGCAATTTTTCAATAAATGTGAAATCCTGTACCCTATTGACCTTCTCATTTTAATTTGCTATTTTAATTGTGCTCTGTGTTTTGCATTTTATAGTACAAGATGTATAATGGGAATCTCACTGTGATGAGAAGCTTTTTGTTTGATGTGCTGAACCTACTCAATGTGGTAAGATATTTGTCCTGTAAGTATGAGTGTCCACATACGAGCTTGGGGCTGCCCTGTAACTTCATAACAAGGGCTGAGAGTGTCACAGTGCCTTCAGGACAGCAGTTATGGAAAATTTAGACCAAAAAAAAAAAGATCAACATCAAAGTAAAAATCACACACACTGTAGCAAAGACATTTTATAGGATTTCTATTTTCAGAATGAAAATTATTCATCACCAATGGCCCATCCCTTTATCTATCATGTGATCAACAAAAGCTCCAAACAGTAAAAGAATCCTGCACTTTTTCATGAAGAAAAATGTTCTTCCCACAGATGTATAACACTATAGATGTTCACGTGGCCTTGGTAGGTATGGAAATCTGGTCTGATGGTGATAAAATCAAGGTGGAACCCACCCTTGGCAAAACATATAGTAAGTTCCTGCACTGGCATAGATCTACCCTGGGGAAAAAGAAGATCCATGACCACGCTCAGCTTCTCAGGTGAGCACATGCCAGCCAGTGCAGATATATATCAGTAGAGTGGATAGTTAGCTCCCAGGTTCCTTGGTTTCTGTTCATTCACATCCCAATCAGTCCTTACACTGCCTGTGAGATTTTTGGAGGTCCCTGTGAGATAAATAACATAGGTTCTTAAATGTGAGAAAACCATCTGTGATCATTATAATGGTATGGGACAGTAGAAGCTGCTCTGGGGAGCAATGAACATGAAATCTCTGACATCACCAATACAGCTACAGTTCCAAAGGCTCTGACATGATGGTGTCTCTGTACCTTTCACACAGTGGAATTGGCTTCAACAATCGGCGCGTAGGAATGGCAAACTCGAATTCCTTATGTTCCCCAGTTTCAGTTGCTGTCATTGAGGTTTGTAAACTCATACTAAGGCTCACTGTGGTTCCATATCTCTAGGAAGATGAATATGTGCTTGGTGCAGACAGTAAGCATAATGAGCATCTGCTGAATGAAAAAGGAAAGGTAGAAATGAAAGTACTGGTAGATTATTGCAGTGAAAATTCCCTGGATTATGAAACATCAGCCCTGTCAAAAGACTTCACACTTTAGTGGGTGTTAAGAGATAAAAGCAGGAATACTGATCCAGAGAGGGGATCTGTGTGCCATCTGTGGTCTGAGTTATCTCTAAATTAGTTATCTATGATGGAAGAGGTCAGAGAAGGAAGACAGGTGCATGTGGGTGTCACATAGCCAAGCCCCACTAATGTCAGAGGCATCATAATGGTTCTTATAGACTTCCTAGTTCATATTATGATGCCTATTAATACTTTCCAAGAGGAATGTGATTAATTTAGCCATTGTTTACTGAGTACTTAGTGTCTATGAGTCCAACAAATACTGAGCACACATGCAATGACTTAATTCATGGGACCCAACCATTTCAAATGTTCATTCAACATTAACCAATAAGCAATTTCAGGGAAAGAAGCTTAATGACTCATTTCCATCACTTAAGCTATTCTTTTAAAGTACTGCACATTTACAATTCAGAACAAACATGTTTAGTTTCATAAATAAGAAGTAACAGATGTTTCCATGTTTTCCAGGGTATAAATAAGAATAACGTGGCTCTTGCAGGAGTGATGGCCCACGAGTTGGGTCATGTCCTTGGTATGCCTGACATCCCCTACACCACCAAGTGTCCCTCTGGCAGTTGTGTCATGAGTCAATATCTGAGGTAAAATCATGTCACCCTAAATTACAAAAGACACTTCCTAAATCTAAAAGGATTTAGATGCACTCTGCCCCGGTGAGATGGGTATTTTTCCCCAAAGACTACATACACCACTCGTTCAACTTCCAGGCTCTTTTGGTACAGATTTTACCAAATATCAGGGATGATTCTTTGAGAGCCCCAAATATTCCAAGGTAGAGTTTATAACCGTGAAAATTATATTATTTTAATTTAAAATTATTTTAACTTAAAGTGAAATCATAGTTGTTAAAAACATCAGAATATTTAAGAAAATCATGCCTTCATAATTACCCATACTTTATTCTTGAGGTGCTCACAAATAAGATGAGAAATATTTCTGTAGAACCTAAAAGTTTGCAATTATTTCTTCACTAGGTCATTGTTTTGGTCTCTTAGCCTCTTACCCTTCAGTTCCAGATGAGTGGATGACAATAAGTGGTAACATTTATTATTAACCTTCTTTAGGACTGTGATGAGACCACATGGGGATTTGAAAACTTCCAATTCTCCATCTGTGTGTCTAGGAAAAAGATTTCAATTAGCATAGTATGCATGCACTACCACCCGGCATGTGTAGCATAGCGTGGCACTTAACATTTACTTAATTTGGAATTTCCATTGAGCTGGGTAATACAATTAGATAAGTCAGATTTTCCTGTTCAGTTATCATGCAAAAGCCACTCTATTGTGTATCATGTTCTTTCTAAGTATTTTTTCTGGTTGCAGTTCAAAATTCCCAAAGGATTTTAGTACAACCTGCCGCTTACATTTTCAAAAATACATTCTATCTCAAAAACCAAAGTGCCTTCTACAAGCACCTAGTCCTACAAATATAATGACAAAGCCAGTGTGTGGGAACCAACTTCTGGAAGTAGGAGAAGACTGTGATTGTGGATCTCCTAAGGTATGAGAATATATGCAGTTTAAATTTTTATTGGACACTTACTGGGGCAAAAATAGGCAGTTTTATAGTTTTCTGTTCTTTTTAAATGTTCTTTCAAAAGCTAAATTTGACAGAAAAGTTAAAAAGTAGATTTGCACTTGTGTTTTGCTAGTGATTTTAGTCATTTTTCAAAAGTAGGATATGCTTGTGATATGATGGTATGAAGTTGAATGTAAAGGAGTAAATCATCAGCCACTTATTACCTCTCTAAACATATTTCTTAGAAATCTCTTAATTCCATAATGTCAGCCAATCATTTGTTAAGCAGTAGCAACTACAGATCTGGAAGTAAGTTCTCACTGCAGAGAAAGTGGCATTTTTTCATCAAGTCCATACATAAACAAGGAGATAAATTAATCAAAGGATGTAAAAACAAAAGAGAAGTCACATAAACATTTAGAAAATGAATTATTAACATATAGCACCTAAGATGCTATGATTCTGTTAACATTTATAAACTAGCAGGGCATTCATGTAATCTAGTGAATGTCTCTGATAGAATATTCCACTTGCAATCTCATATTCATTTTCTAAGAATGCTGCTTTCTTAGCAATGTTTAAGTCAAAAATTATCATTTGAAGAGATTATAAGTGTTAGACAATCTTCAAATGCCCTATGTCCTATCTCCTTTGTTATAACAGGTCTACCTTATGTATATTGTTGTCATCCTAATTTAGAGAAATGGGGCTCACAAAGTAACTAGTAGCTAAGCAACTAGTTCCAAGAATGAAAGCTAGTAACTGGTAGCCAAATGAAATCTGAAATTCATCCAATACTTCAGATGACTTGCTTACTGTGTAGGAGACAGCTAATTCCTCTATGCTTCAGCGTATTTATTCAGAAATTTTAAACTGTTAGATGACATCAGAATGTTGTTTGATATGACTTAAATATTTATTGAAGGACATTGCAAAGATTCTGCTAATTATAACAAAATACAAAACTTATAAATGATTTGACTGTTTAAATTAGAGTTAAGTTTATCTCGTTCTGACTAACCTACATTCCCATGTTTTCTTGGGTGGAAGGAAATCAAAGTTTGTAAATCAGAAGTGCTCTGAATTTCAGTCGATGAATAGCACATTTTCAGTGTGTGTACAGACAGGATGCAAAGGAGAAGAGAAACTACTGTCTATATAATACATACTATCTTGTTTTCTTGAAATATACTAATCAACTCTTATACTGTTTCAATATAGAGTTTCCCGTTTATGTAATTGATTAAAACTAGTAAGTTCAGGCTTATGGACATCTGTATTTTTAAATAACTGCTTTCTTATCCCAAACGTAATTGGGGCTAAGTGATATAGTTCAGTGGTAGCGTTCTTGCCTACTAATGTTGATGCATTATCATTTTTAATATTATTATTATCTTAAATGGTGATTTGGTGACACGTAAAATATTTTTAAGAGTTGATCCTCTTTTTCTTCCAAATAAAGGATTGTATCCCATACAAACAGCGAAAACATGACTTTTACTTTTCCACTATGTCTTCATACCTTTTCCATATCTCATAGTATTTGTTAGAATTTCCAAAAAATATAGAATATAAAGAATCCGTGCCTTTTACATAAATTACAAGCAATGCTTAAATAATTTAATAATGGCTGTCCAAATTATCAACTGTTAATCTTTATCACAATAATACTAGTTATTTTCTCCTCTCAGTCTCTTATATAATTGTGTTCATTGGAGTTGAACCACTCTTGCATTTTTGGGGAAGAAAATGCACACAGATGTAGGAGAGTTACTGTGTTAATGAATCAAGGGTTCAGGTTCGCTAACATTGTATTTAAATTTTAGCATTGATAACCATCTGAGAATAGTGTGTGTGATCATTTGGTCTCACTACCAAAGTAATGCAGGCTTGGTAAAATACTGCGGGGGGTTCAATTCTTTCCCTATTTTTGGAGAGTTTGAATAGTGCAGAAGCATTGTTCCTTGAAGCTTTCAATTAATTTATATGTACCCCAGGAGACAATTTATTTGGAGAATTAGATAATTCTATCTGAATTTTGAAGAGGTAGTTTGTATTGTTTGAGACATTTTTTCCCCTATTATTAACATTCCTCGGTCATTTCCACTGGAATTGGTGTTACAGAGTTATTTAGTTTAACGGTGAAATTTCCCTGCTACCTCATACCTAAATCTTGTTCCCTTGGCCAATGGGAAGAAACCACTGAACTTCCTCTCCCTTTTGAAGAGCTGCACTGATCTTTGCTGCCAGGCCCTGACCTGCAAACTGAAAAGTGCCTGAATGCCCAGAAGATACTTCTGATCACTTCGCGTGAGTCCTTTCTTCTCTTTGCTCCTCAGTATTTTCTCAGTGTTACTTCAGATTTGAGAAAGATGCGACACAATTTATGTTATTCTTGAAAGTGACTCAACTTTGAGAAGAAAGGAAAATACAATCACACACATAAATCACTAACGTTGTGTGAACATCATGATGAAACAAGGGGCTTCTTTGACATCCGTGAGATTAGGACTGCCGAAATCTGCACAGAAATAATATAATTTCCATAGATGATGAGTTTAATACTAGCTAAGATGAAAAGAAGGAAAGAGTAGTGTTTTTTAAACCAACTTTTTAATTAATCAGCACATTTTATTCTTCATGAAGAGCTGAGAGTCGTCATTTGCGAGACAGTCAGAAAATTAATAGCATTTAAGAATATGCTTTAAGACTTAGTAACTGTATTTTTAATAAGTGTCCCAATGAGTTATAATCCAAGTATCCTTCTTATGTCTTAGGCAGTCCTGTGTTATTTGGACTTGGGAATTTAGAGTTTGTTAGTATTTGTTACGGTGGAAAATAGTCTCACTATAAGATGGACAGTAAGAATAATAAAATTCCCCAGTACCAAAAAAAAAAAAAAGAATAATAAAATTCTTCTTAAGTGTGGGAAAGATCCAGGAAACATTATATGGAAAGAGTCAATCTTACTCTTTTTCTAAGTCTTTTCTGGAATCAAAACGTACAGAAAATTGTTGACTGGAACACCACTGACTGTCAAATCCTCAGGGAAGATTAAAGGATAAGGAAGGAGCATCCCGCTTGGACTTATCAACTGTAATTTAATGCCACCCCTCTGAACCACAGGGTATGAGTTCATTCTGCAAGGGATTTAGAATTGCTCCCTGCGTAGCATATTAAAATAAAAAGGAAAAAGGAAAAAGAAAAACAAACTAAGAAAAGGAAAAATAAGGGAAATGAGAAGAAGAGAAAGGAAAAAAGAAAGTCCTTTGAACTCTCCAGGGCTTGGAAGTAGAGTGGCGTGGTGATTTCTGGGTACAGTGGGCCATTTAGTGTCAATGAGAGAAAAGTGAATTTGGACTCAGGACCTGTTAAAGTCTCATCTTAATTCTACCAAAAGCTAGCTGTGGAACCATGAGCTGAGTTACTTCATTTGTTTTCGCACCTGTAAAATGGAGCTGATGATATTTTTTTCTCAGTAGGGTTGTTAGTATTATTTAAATTCTATAAATTTCCATTATCTTTATGAGATAACATTTTATAATTTATAATAACTATGATTTTTAACATTTTTCTCTTAATTAGAAGATGAATCACAGTTCACTTCATTGAAAAGCGACTTTGCAAGACTCAAGAGCTATAACCACTACAGGCATCTTCTATTTTCACCACAAGCACTTTTCGAGATCTTGGTTTCTGTATCCATGGATTCAAACAACCACTGATTGAAAATGTTTGAGAGGAAAAAAATCACAGCCGTACTGAATACATGGACTTTTGTCTTGTTATTATTTTCTTTAAAAATCAGTATTAAAACTACTTTCATCGTATCTTCTTTGTATTAGGTATAAGTAACCTAGAAATGATTTAAAGCATAGAGCAGAATGTGTGTGGGTTATATGCAAATATTGTGCCATTTAATATAATGGAGCAAAGCATCCACAGATTTTGGTATCTATGGGGGGTCCTGGAAAGAATTCCTGGAGATAGAAACAAATGATTCTATTTGTTTTTCACTTGTCATTCTACTCTCTATATTCTTACCAGCCAATTGTTAAATAGGAGTACTTTGAAAATTGCCTGTATAGTTGGACCTAATCACCAATGTGTTTCTAAGGAGCATGAAACTGGCTTGTCTCTGTCCTTTAGAGAACAGGGAAAAAAATTGGCCTTTGACTAAAGTATCTCAAAATGCATGGTTGAAATACTCAGTGTCAATCCAAAATTGTAAATTACAAGTGACTTGTGCTATAACTTGACTTTCATTTTACTAGTGTAACCTAGGAAAAAATATTAGCACCTGATGTGGGAAGAATTTCCATCTTCCTTGCCTTGCCCTTGTAAGTGTTCTGTTTTTCTAATGTATGTAAAGATTAATTAAATACAAACATTTTTCACTTTATCAGATATGATCCTTTGCACATATCTTTCACTCTTGGATATAAAGTGTATTTTGAGAAGGCAATTTGCTTACATTTTCATTGAGCCAGACAAGTAGGCTTTGTTCATCTATTGATTTAATAAGCCATGCTATCAATAAAACTACAACCTTTCAATTTGCTGTGTGGTCTTTATTAAAAATAAATTGAAATTCTTTGTAGGGGTCAAGATCCTGGTTATTGTCCACCCTAAAGAGTATTCTGCATCAATATTAGACACTTGACACAGAAGTCAGGTATGAGTAACTGGGGAAGGGACAGAGTAGGGAAAGCCCTTTCCAATTAGCCTATTAGCATCCAGGCCTGAAATCCGGGGGATGTACAGTATTGGATGATACGGGCCACTCACCTCTAAGTGATTTTAAAGTCTAAGTCCTAAATTCTTGCTTAAAATGTCCTGTTATACAAATTTTAACTTTGAAACAATTTCTGATCTGTAATTTGACATGACAATATGCACTCTTTCACAAAACTGACTTAAAGATTTGGGCAATTTTTTATAATATCTTTTTTTTTGTGTACCAGGGATTGAACTCAGGACGTTGCGCTTGTGAGGCAGGTGCAGTGCCACTGAGCTAAATCTCCAACCCTAACATATGGGCAATTTTAAAGCATGGCAAAATTGACATATTCTAAAACAAAAACATTTTTTTATTTTATGAAAAAGTAAAACAAAATTTCATAAAAATAATAAGAGAATAATAATAATTAAAACACTGTGTACCCTTATCTGCAAAGTAGTTACTCAGATTGCAAAACATAAACCAAAAAGATTCTTACAAAAAGAGAAATGAAAGATAACACAAAACTTTCTTTTTAGTGAACTAAGATAAACTATCAGTATAAGTGATAGCATTAGCATATATACTAAAACACTTTTGAAACAATGATGGGTATGGAAAATGTATTTATACACAACAGAGCACTAGCCTGCTATAAAGATAAACGAGGCATTTGTAAGTACATGGGTACAACTTGAGAACATAATGTTAAGTGAAATAAGTCAGACACACAAGCTCAGATATCCACGGCTTCTCTTATTGAAAAAAATATCTTCTATCTTGCTTTTTATTTGTAAAGAGCAAATTTATTTTTTTTACAAATAAAGAGAAAAATAGAAGAAAGATAAATACAAGAAAGTAGGGAGAAGTTCAAATACTTAAACAAAAAATGTAAATGAAATACTTTCTATTCATAAAATTACTCAGAAAGAAGTAAGTCACTGGTAAGATAAGGAATTGAATACTATTTTTGGAACCCTCTAGATGATTAGAAGTTGCTGGGCCAAGCATCTGCATGGTTTGCTTTCTATGTCTGGCAATGCATGTCTAATCTAACAGTGATGTGCAATGTATTTTTTATTATCTAGCAATTACTTTTCATGGGTATAATCCTGCTTCCCACCAAAACACAATGTAAGCACCATCATACATCTCTTCAGTGCATAAATTTTTCAAAGCACTTTCACTTATTTTATCTAGCTTAATAGTTAATGAAATGAAAAGACAGGTGTGAAATGTATTATTTTATAGGAGGAAAGGGTGTGGTCAAGTAGGTTGTTTAATGATTTATCTAAGAGTCCATAGAAAACTTATGGCAAACATAGAATTTTAAAGTGTGAACCAGGTTCTAAAGCCAGGACTTCTGCCATTTTATGTCTGGTGAGATAATCTCTGGAGATGGATGGAATCTGTATACCATTTTATTGATGTGTATACTATGTCACAAATCCCAAGGGAACCCAGAATGGTGTCTGAAAGTACACATGAGCTCACAGCACAAATGTCCATAGACAGTGTCAAGTAATTTGCTTTGTAAAGACTGCTGGCTCCTTGACCGAATTACCCGACACTAGGTATTTACTGTTAAAATGAAAAATATTTAGTCTGGTATTTTACATTGAAAATACAATCAATTAGAAGAAAATTGAGTCCACACAAGGATAAACCAATTTGTCTTTCTTTGGTGATTGGAAATTACATGCATTAAAGTTTCAACTCTATGAATTAATAGATGTATTCTATTGTTGAAGCTGATTGAGATATACTATCTTCCCAGCACATTACTAAGCAAGGAATATACAAAATATGTAAAGAACATTTTTTCTCCCAGAGGTTTTATTTGAAGGTAATAGTTATAGCACATAAAATACTTTCTGGAAAACATAAGAAACAAATCCATGGGCTATAGATAATATGGTTCAGGCTCTAACTGCTATAGATGTTTATAGGTCCCTCAGAATTAGACTACAGAAAAAAAAAATAAGAAAATGGATCATTTAGCTTCCCTGAGAATGGGGGAGAGTTTAAAAAAAAATACATACATACATAAATAAATACATAAATACATAAAACTGCAAGACCTGACTGTGCATCACATTCTCCTGTGGACTAAGTCTGCATTCATATTAGAGAAAAGGGATCATCTATAGTGAAGAAACAAGAAAACATAAAGCTGTCAGAAGAATACCCCCCTGTCCCATCTTCAAGTACAAAGAGCCATGTTGCTGTCTTAAGTGAAGTCCAGTGGGAACAGGAAAACCATGGGCAATAGGAGCAAAGGGCAGATAATGAGTCACCAACAGTTGCAGAAAGAAGCTGAGTGAGGGAAGCCAAGTATGAAAAATTGGTGCCAATCAACGTCACTGAACTTGGTAGAAGAAGCATGCACAACCCTGAATACATTCATGGGATACACGACAACCTCTCCATCACGGATGGGCGCTTAGTGGACAGTGGCCCCTCAAGCGATTGTGCCTAGTGACGTCTTAGCAGTCTTTGCTGTAAGTCCACGCTGCGATGCTCTCCCAGTGATGAAATCCCCTAACGGCACACTTCTCAGGGCACATCCCCTCTTCGGGTGGGGCGCGACCGCTTCCTGAAAATCGTCCTTCCCTCTGGCTTGGAGGCCACTTCCAGCCCAGGGCGCTCCTGTCCGCTTTCCTGCTGCGGCCCCACCGCGCTGACCTCAGAGATAGCCAGTGAGTCCCCCTTGCCAACCATTTTTAAAAAGGAAAGAGAAAAGCAAAACTAAATAAAAGGCATTTCCAGAAAAAGCTCTTTGTCTACTAAATAAAAGCGAGAAATAAAGATTATTATACAACATGAACCTGGAGTCCGCCCGAGAGCTTTACATACAGTACTGGCTCCCTTCCTCCTCTGCATCTCCGAGTAGGGAGCCATACTAGTACCAATTACATCATCTTTCTCCCTCGATTTCAGATCCTGCATTCCTCAAAAGCGTATTCATGACCCCCGACCAGGTGTCCCTTGGCCACTGACATGGAGCAGGTCTCCCGGGCTCGGCCCGCCTTTGTGATCTGCTCCCAGCTCTCCTGGCTGAGCCTGGTAGATTTCCAGGCAAATATATACTCGCTTTTGCGCACCTTGCACCCTCTGAGGGTTGTCTTTGCACACTCTGAGCCCTGCTTTTCTCTGGCATCAGAGGAACCATGACCAGTGCTTTGCTACTGAGCAGAGAAGAAGCCTCCGGAATCCGGGGAAATGCACACATTGGAGTTCTTAAACTTGCAGCCTTAGCGAGAGGCTCAGGTAGGGCCAGGATTTATCACCTGGAAACCGATTCAGGCTTCAGTGGACAAAGTACAGGGCTTGCGCACCACCTTGTGGCTACAGTGCTTACAGCAACGGTAGCTAGGTCATCCTCTGTGTCCTCTTCCGTAGTAATAAAATCCTCAGAAAATGGCCTTTTGCCTGGCCCAAGGTGTGACAGCCAAGCTGTTCGCAAGCAGAGGCCTTGTCAGGGAGCTTACCTGGGACCTGTCCCAAACCACATTCTACTCACTGCCTCTCCCAGCAGCCCTACCTTGTGTGTCCTTCAACTCGCCTTAACAAAAAATTGATCTTAGTCTGAAAACTGCATCCTTGGCCAATCTTTATCCATTCACCTCAGTAGAGCAGACTTCTCTTTTGTTAACTGTTGAACAAACACATAATTAGCTTCTGTCTTCCATCCAGTTATCTCACTTCCCTTTTTGATGTGACACTGAATTTAAAACTCAGGCTTTGCAAAGTTCTTCGTCATTCATTTCAGATTTGGCCAATTTCATACCTAAGAAGAGTCTGGAAATCAGAAAGGAGGAAAGAGGATGCATGCTGTGGAAATAGTGCTCTCCAGGCACCATTAAGTAACAGACACACACAGATGCGCACACACACACACGCACACACCCAGGCGCGCGCGTGGGCACCCCAAGCTGAGGGCCCCTGAATCATCCCCGATTGCTACCAGCAGCTTCCACTCATGTGACTACACAGCTGTCACACACAATCTACACAGCAGGGCAGGTGGGTTTTATAACAATTTATTTCTTGTTGTTATTAGGTGTACAATAAAAACATTTTTTGTTTTCTGGAAGAGCTCCTTATTTAGCTATAGCAAAGGAAACAAGAAAATGGTGCTTTCCTGTCTCATTATTCAGGAAATGTGTGGAAAATGGAAGAAATCCTCATCCCAGGAATTATGCGGTGGGTCAGAAGGAGGTAAGTGAGTGAGTCCCATTCAGAGGACGCACTGAAGACAATAGATGTTTTTTTGTCTCTAGTCAGCAATCCAAAATGAGAAGGAATGTAAAGTGGACTTTGGGTGGCAGAAGTCTGGGTTAAAGACGTTTGGGGAGGATCATTTGCTCTAAAGTGACATGTTAAGAATATAACCAGACCCTCACCCCAAAACAGCCAGTTTTAGAGTTTCCTTCAGCCCAGGAGTCATTTGGAAGTCTTCTCACCTCTGTCAGGTACCTTCCAATTTCATGGGCTCTCCTGAGTATAACTTGTAGGATAACAACTGGCAAGATGTCACCATTACCTGTTCTTCCTGAGAATTAAAATTAGTCCAAGGATGGTGTCTTCTGTCTTACTGCTCATTCAACTCTCTCTTTTGCCCTTACTCAATGGGAAGGCCACCTTGTACATTCCACACTTCCTCCTTACCCCCAACCTCCTGCCAAAGATCCAGGATGGCTTCTCGCTTGGCCTTTCCTTGAAAGCTCCATTGGGAACTGCAGCCTTAACTCACTTCTCACCAAAGGATGGAACGTGGACCCTAACTACTTCTCTCCTAGCCTTCATACCTACCCCCCTAATATCATGAGCAGTGGCTAATGTTTTAGACACAAGTCCCTTGTCCCCTATGTGTATTGCAAATATTTCAGATAAATCGTATATATCATCTTTCCAAGGTTTAAGATTTTAATTTGATGAAATCTGATTTATCATTTCCCCTTTTATACTGTTTATTTGCTCTGAATATTCATATTACTAACACCTCTTTGTTTCCCCTTGATTGGTCAGATTTTCTTTTGTTTTATTCCTTATGTTCCTTTAGCTCTTGCTCTTTGGTATCGGATGCATTTCAACCATATGTTCACATATGATGCTAGGTAAAGCACAATGTTCTTTTATTCTATGGATGTAGCCTGTTCTTCTAGTAGCATTTGTTGGAAAGAAGTATCTGTTTCCATTAGATTACTATGATACACTTGTCAAAACAAAAGTACCAAAGAGCATATGTGTGAGAATCCATTTGTGGCCTCTCTATTCTGTTCAATTGATTTCTGTATGTTTCCCATGACCTTTTAAAGCTAACTTGTTAGTTCTGCTAGTTTTTGAGCTCCATTGCCTTGCTACACAATTTAGACACCAATGACTATTCCAAAAGCAGTTTGTGCAGCAGTTCATCTACCACCTACCCTGATTCAGTGCGCACCTGGGTGTGAGTCCTGCCCCTGCTCTTTCCTAAACACGGGGTTTGAGACCCTCAGGATCCATACAAGGCCTCCCACCCAGTATGGGGTTAACAGGAGAACCATCCCCAGATCCACCTTCCACATCAGTGGCAAAATGTCATATTTCAATTCAGAGTGCATCAAGCAGCTTTTATGCAGGAGGTGGCTTTCTTCGTGGGGAAAATAAATCCCATATTCATTGGTAATTGACAGTTCAAAGAATCAATACACTTTTGCTTTATTCTATTATTGTTTATTTATTTATTCAGGGTACTATTCCTTCCCTTATATAGAAGTATGAAAGAATAACTAAATGTGGAGAAGATACACTTGTGTCTGGAATATGCCGCCACGTTCCCCAGCCCCGTTACCCTACCTTTTCTGTTAACAGACACAGAGCTCCTATGCTACAGAGCATGTCCACCGGAAAGGATTTGCTGCCACAGAGATATCTCCTCTGGAAACCTGAGGAATAATTTACAATTTTCAAAAGGAAAAGCCTAACAGTCTCTGATAGTGGAGGCTTTACTCAGCCAGCCGGTAGGCAAAGGTGCTCATGGCATGTTTGCCAGTGACTGTTGTCCAGAGAAGCATCTCTGTGTATCAGCAAATGGCACAGCGTCTAACACCTCCTGTGTCACTAGAGGCCCTGCTGCCTCAAAGTCCTGTGTTGTTGGTGCTGACACTCACCAGCAGGGTCCCTGGCTTGTACTGAATTAGCCCAAGAGCCAGTCACACAGATACTGGGCAACTGGGAAGCAGTGGCGGGGTGGGAAGCTCTCTGAGAACCCCGGCAACAGCGGGTGGTTAGTTAGTTCTCATTCTTCCTTGCTAGAACAATCTTTCACATTTTAACATTTAAGAATTTGGGATACTGACTCTGGTACATATAAATGTGTATTTTTTTCTACACACATAGACACACAGTTTATGAGGCAGGAAGTTCCCATTTGCTCCACATAAGAACTATTATTAAATCATTGCCACAGCTGCCCAGCATGTTGCCTTCGAGGGAGGACTTGTACTCATTACTATGGCGACCCTAACACGACAGTGATACTAACTGAATGTATTCAAAGCCATATTTAGAAATAATTAGTCCCTTTCTCTTTTGCAATAAGGAACTACTGCATGCTTCTTTTTGTTAGGCAATTGTGACACCTGCTGTCGAAAAGAAAGAACTCACTCTTCTGTCCAAAGCAGGCTTTTCCTCTAGAAAAGACAAAACTATTGCTAAGACACAAAAACTTCTAGCAGAAGATGAACACATAACCGTAAGTTTTTCCTGATCATTAAAAGTCCAGTTTTAAGCCGGTAACATTTTGTGTTGAAACATTGTAAACAGCCCCAGAGCTAAGTTTCTACCATGCTCTTCGTAATATTTTCCCGAAGATGAAGAGAAAAACAATTTATGAATTTAATGACGACCAGGTGGACAAATATTTGCAGATATCCATGCAAACTTCGGGCTCACAGTTAGCACTCACCCCTTAGTTTCTAGCTTCCTCTATATGTTTGCCTATATACATATTTTGAAATACAACTTCATCAAGCTGTAAATTACATACACTGAAATGTAGTTAATTTAAAAATACAGTTCAATGTATTTTGACAAAATGTAACCCGTTCACAATCAGCATATGGAACATTTCTTTTATCTATTCCTTTATGTCACCTTTCCTTCAACCTCAAGCTCAGCCAGTTTTCTGGGCAATCACAGATCTGCTTTCTATCATGATAGTTAAGTTTCTATATTTTAGTTTCAAGCGACAGAAATCATGTAGCACACATGCTCTGTGTCCAACATCTTTTGCTTAGCATCATGCTGAAAAAATTCATCTGTTGCTCCAATGACTCTTGCTGCATAACCAAATACTTCTAAATTCAGTGACAGCAAGTGACAGTGAGTTTAGTCAGTTTCCCATTACTGTAACAAATATCTGAGGTAACCAACATATGAAAGGATAGTCACAGTTACTGAGGTTCCAGCCCACAATCAGTTGATTGTCCTCCTTGCTTTTGGGCCCTGGGAGCACATTGTGGAGGGATTTTACAGTTGAGGAAAACTACTTGCTTCGTGTGAAAATTAAGAGACCAGTACCTTACAATCCCCTTTCTTCTGCAGGCTTGCAGTTTAATTTATTCCTCTTTTTTGGTTGTTGAAGTGTAAATTTATGTTGTTGATTTTGGATTTTTCTATTTTTTAAATGTGTTCAGCTCTATAAATTTCCCTCTTAGAGCTGCTCTTCCTGTTTCCCAGAAATCCCCTGAGTTTTGGTTTGTTATGCCTTCTTTTTCCTTTCTCTCAAGATATATGTTGATTTCCTTTGTGATTTCTTATCTGACCATTGGCTGTTTAAGGGTACTTCCAAGTAATTGTGGATTCTCTAGTTTTCCTTCTGCTCTTGCTTTCTAGTTTCATGGTACTGTGCTAAGGACACACGTGGAATGATTTTCACATTTTCAGTTAGTTAAGATTTGTTTTGTGGCTCCACATGTGGTCCATCCTGGCAATGTTCATGTGCAATAAGAAAACTGTGTATTTTATTGTATTTGGATGCCATTTTCTGCATAGTAGATACGGTTGGTCTATGATGAAGTTCAAGTTCTCGGGTTCCTAGTTGTCCTATCCATTATTAAAACTGCCACTTGGTGTTGATTTTCCTAGTTAGGTACTGGGCTTTGTTGTGTTTGTTTTAAGAGTTCTAGGCCTCTTTCTGATAGTCATTTTAATTTCCTTCTTATTTTTCTTATATATACATTCTATAGCCATTTTCTTTGTGGCTACCATGGAAATTATTCTACAGTCATTATATCTTCACTTAAAATGATGACAATTTTATATTCCTGCATTTCTCCACTGCTAAAAATTAAATGGTTATATATTGTGTACCCACTATCAGAGATGAATAATTAATTTATGCTTTTGTCTTTTAAATCCTGTAAACAAAAAAAAAGTGTAATGAATTAAAATTTTAATAATTCTCATTTACATATTTTCATGCCTTGTATTTACAGGAGGAATTATTATTACTATGTTTTGGGGGGGTACTGGGGATTGAACTTGGGACCTTGCACTTGCAAGGCAGGTGCCATAACCACTGAACTAAATCCCCAGCCCAGGAGGAATTATTTCTGTATGGCATCAAGTTACTTTCTCTAGTGTTCTTTTATTTCACTTTGAAGGACTCCCTCTAGTATTTGTTGTAAGGAAGATTTACTGTCTTGGCGATGGATTTTATTGCCCTATTTAAACATGAGGATATCTTATCTTCTCTCTCATCTTCCTGGGACACATTTCCCAGTGCAATACTGTCAGTCATTAAGTTTATTTTTTTTCTCTCAGTACTTTATATCGTCTGTTTCTCTTCTGGTCAGCAAGGTTTCTCATATGAATTAACGGATAATCTTTATGGGGATCGCTTGTATGAGATGGCTGGCTTTTCTCACACTGCTTTCAAGATTATCTCTTCGTCTTTTGAGAGCTTTACTATCCCATGTCTAAATTCATGACTGTTTTGGTTTATGTTGCTCTGAGTTTATGGTGATTTTTGCAATTGTATACCCATGTCTTTCTTCAAAATCAGGAAGTCTTTGGCTAACATTTCTTCAATTAAGCTCTCTGCAACTTCTATCTCTCTTATTCTGGAATACCCTCATGCACATGCTGGTATCCTTCATGGTGTCTCGTAAATCTCTTTAGCTCTGATCACTTATTTATTCGCTTATTGTTTTGTTATTTTCCTCCTGAGATCTAATAATTTCATATGATTTATTCTTGTCCCTTCTCTCCCTCCCACTTGTTCCCCTTCTCATCTGAAAATTTTCTTCCCATTTCCCAATGTCTATCATTTATTTTAGTCCTTATTTCCAGTTTGGGTTTCCCACACCAGATAAACAATGTGGTATTTAAACATCTGTGTCTGATTTATTTCACTTTAGAGTATCATCTCAAGGGGCCAGGGATTTAGCTCAGTGGTTCCACTGCCTGCCTTGCAAGTGCAAAGGCCTGAGTTCAATCCCCAGTACCCCCCCCCAACCCACACAAAACAACAAAAGAGTATTGTCTCAAGGTGCATCCATTTAGCTATAAATATCTCAAGCTTAACCTTCTTTATGACAGAGTAGTACTCCATTGTGTTAAAAAAACACAACCATATCTTCTTTATCCATTCATCAGTTGATGGGCATTTGGGCTGTTTCCAAGATTTAGCTATTACAAATTGTGCCTCTATAAACATGGATGTGCACATATCCCTATGGTATGGTATGGTGCTTTTAATTCTTTCAGGAAGATACCAAGTAGGGTGATAGCTAGGTCAAATGGAAGTTCCAGTTTTAGTTCTTCAAAGAATCTCCACACTGATTTCCACAGTGGTTGCACCAGTCTACACTCTCACCAACAATGGAGAAGGGTTCCTTTCTCCCCACAGCCCTGCCAGCATTTGTTTTTGGTTGCTTTCTTGATTACAGCCATTCTTTCTGGAGTGAGATGAAATCTCAGTGCTGTTTTAATTTGCATCTCTTATTCATTATACCAATGATGTTGAATATTTTTTCCATATATTTATTTGCTGTTTCTACATCTCCATCTGAAATATGTCTATTCATTTGATAGGCTCATTTTTGAATTTGGTCTTTGAACTTGAGGATCTGATTTTTTTTGCATTCTTTGTATATTCTAGATATTAGTTCTTTGAGAAACAGCTGACAAAATTTTTTCCCATACTGTGGGTTGTCTCTTCACTCTTGCTGTGAAAAAACTTTTTAATAAGATGAGATCCCAGTTGTTGATTCTTTGTACTAGTTCCCGTGCTACTGAGGTTTTGTTCATAAAATCTTTTCCTAATCCAATGTCTTCAAGAGTTCTACCTAACTTATCTTCCAGCAAGTTTAGTGTTTCTGTTTTTATATTTAGATCTTTAATCCACTTTTAGTTTAGTGCATGGTGAAAGATATGGGTCTAGTTTTAATCTTTGGCAGGTTGAAATCCAGTTTTTCCAGCACCATTTACTAAAGAGGCTATCTTTCCTCCAGTGAGGATGGTTGGCTCCTTTGTCAAAGATGAGGTGGCTTAGTATGTTGGAGTTGTTTCTGCATCTTCAATCTGTCCCATTGATCCTCAGGTCTTTTTTTCCAATACTATGCAGTTTTTGTCATAGTAGCTTTGTAATATAATTTCAAGTCAGGAATTGTGGTGCCCCCTGCCTTGCCTTTGTTGCACAGAATTGCCTTTGCTATTCTAGGTCTCTTCTGGTTCCAAATGAATGTAGGATTGCTTTTTCTAAATCTGTGAGATATACTATTGAAATTTTGATCAGAATTGCATTTTTGGAAGAATGGCCATTTTCACTATATTAGTTCTTCCTATCCAAGAACAAGGGATATCTTTACACTTTCTGATATCCTCCTTGATCTCCTTTTTCAGAGTTCTGTAGTTTTCCATGTAGAGGGTTTTAACTTCCTTCATTAGACTGATTCCTAGGTATATCATTTTTTTGGATGCTGTTGTAAAAGGTGTTGTTTCCCTAATTTCTCTCTCAGTGAATTTGTTATTCATTCACAGGAAGGCTATTGATTTTTGATGTTGACTTTGTATCCAGCTATGCTACTGAATTTGGTTATTAAATCTAGAAGACTTTTGGTGGAGCTTTTGGGGTCTTCTATGTAGAGTATAATGTTTTCTGAAAATAATGATAATTTAACTTCTTCCTTTCCTGTCCTTATTCCTTTTATTTCCTTCTCTTGTCTAATTTCTCTGCCTAATGTTTTCAGAACCACAAGAGTGGTTACAATAGACTTCCCTGTCTTGTTTCTGATTTTAGAGTGAAAGGTTTCAGTTTTTGTCCATTTAGTATGATGTTGGCTTTGGTTTGTCATAGATGGCTTTTATCAGACTGAGAAAAGGACCATCTATTCCAATTTTCTGTAGGGATTTTATCACGAATGGGTGTTTCTTAGCTCTGTTAGTATGTAACATTTATTGATTTGCATATGTTGAACCATCCATACATTCCTGAAATTAATCCAACTTGTTCATGGTGTATAACCTTCTTGATGATTATCTGCATCTTACTGAGGATTTTTGCATCTATGTTCATTAGGGATATTGGCCTGTAGTTCTCTGTTTTGGTTAGATCGTTTTTTGGCTTTGGTAACAGGGTAATGCTTGCTTCCAGGGATAAAATTGGGAATATTGCTTCCCTTTCAATTTCATTAAAGAGTTTGGAATATGGCATCATTAGGTCTTCTTCAAAATTTTTTTAAAATTCAGCAGTAAGTCCATCAGGGCTTGGGCTTTTCTTTGTTGTTAAATTTTTAATTACATCTTCAATTTTACTGACTGATATTAGTTTATTTAGAAGTTTTATATCTTTTTGATTTATTTTGGTAATTCATATGTATCTAGGAATCTGTCCATTTCTTCTGTCTTTTCTATCTTATTAGAATACAGGTTCTCAAAGTAGGTATTGAT